GTCTCTTTTTTCTTACCCGACTCACTGCAATATTATACCTTTCTCTCTCTCTTCAAATTTTCTCTCTGCCTTTTATTACTTTCTGACGCTTCTTCGATGACGGTCACTCGCTGATTACTATAATAAGTCTTTCTTAATAGGTCGTGACGACAAGAAAACCTATGCAAGTAGATAAAGAGATATAACGCTATATTTATATATTAAAAAAATACTTGTTCTAATCATAAAATATACACCATGTAATATATCTGACGTAAAATAGTCAATTCAATATATATTATTAAACGGAGTTATTATGTACGTTAAAATATTTAAATATCAAAATTATCCTATAAATGATTTCAAGCGGTTAATTTAAAAAAAAACAATATTTAAAATGAAATTCAATTTATTTTAATAACTCGAAAATTAAAATAATTTTGAATATTGGATTAAGAAAGCACGAGGATATTTCTTTTAGCCGCAATTCATTGACCCAATCACCCACCATGTTGCTGATTTTTTTTAATTTATTTTTATATTTATTTGAAGAAAATAATGAAATTATAGTTAAAAATATAGAATTTTAAATTTTATAGAATTGTTGATTGAAATTAAAAAAAAATATATATTATTGAATCTAAATTAATGATTAGAATACTATATTTATCAATATTAATAAATTATTAAAAAAAATAAATATTAACCATGTGTAGATATTCTTCAAATTTTTTAATTTTTCTTATAAAAAATTTAAAATATTCATGTACAGTTATTTCTAAAAATGATTTGTGATATTTATTTTAATTTAATAATAAAGTTAAAGCTATTAAAATTAATTAAAAAAAAAAAAAAGTCGAAATCAGGTAGCTAATTTTACTTGGCGGCAAACGACGGCACTAACCGAGCCACGTAGGTCAACAAGCTGGCAGTGGGCCCCACTCTCACAATTTTTACATTTCTGAAACTAGACGTTATTCCGTCTAGATAAAAATGTTAGACGTAAGTTTTGGAGTGACACGCGTCATTCGCTTACCTACACCTTTACCAACTAGGATTCTTCACGCTACCGGCTATTCCGGTCACCCGGTAACCTCCTTACCCTTTCCTCTTCCTCTTCCCCCTCCCATCTTTGCATCCAGATTCATCGTTGTCTTCTCTTCACTGGAATGCTCTTTTCCGATTAAACTGCATTTCGTTATTTTATTATAAATCTGTTTCGTTTTCGTTTTTCATCTCCATTTCTATCTGAATCCGGATTTCCGCTCCTTAGATGGAAGCTTCTTCTTCGTCTACAACCACTACTCGCCGGTCGTTCTTCCGATACTGTCACTGTAGTTTTTTCAGGCGTTGTTGTCGTTGTTTCTGCTGTTTCTACTCCTATCCTTAGGTGTTCGTTGAATTCGTTTTGTTCATCGTCTTCCTCTGCTGCTGATTTTCGGGATTATGGATTTTCGTCATGCCCAGTCGGATCTTTCTTTACGATTTAGTTCTCATGCCACATCTTCGATATCTAGAAGTTCGATTGGGGATAACTCGAGCTATTTGTGTTCGACGGCTTCGAATTCGTCGTATTTGTTGGAACTCCGTGAGCAAAAGGACGAGAAATTCAATTTTGTGAAAGGGGACCCGGATGATCATAGCGATGATGAGCAGTTCAGCCTTCTAGGGCAACCCTTGCGTGTGAAGAGGCAGAGAGACAGTCAATCGTTTCTCAACCAGGATTCTGCGAAACGGTTAGCGATTATGGATGAATCAAGCCTTGAGGTGAGACGAGCGTCGGTTAGGGCATGGGGGAATCAGTCGCTTCGAATTGCCGACCCGGAAATTCATGATATTATGGCGAAGGAGAAGCAGAGACAATATAGGGGTATTGAACTGGTTGCTTCGGAGAATTTTGTGTGCAGGGCTGTCATGGAAGCCCTAGGTAGCCATTTGACGAATAAGTACTCTGAGGGAATGCCTGGCGCTAGATACTATACGGGTAATCAGCACATAGATGAGATTGAATTGCTTTGTTGTGAGAGAGCGTTGGCCGCTTTTGATCTTGATCCTGAGAAATGGGGAGTGAATGTGCAGCCTTACTCTTGTACATCAGCAAACTTCGCTGTGTACACCGGTCTTTTGCTCCCAAAGGATCGAATTATGGGTTTGGATTCAGCATCGGGAGGCCATCTTAGTCATGGGTATTATACTCCGGGTGGGAAAAAGATTTCAGCGGCTTCTATATTCTTTCAAAGTCTACCTTATAAAGTGAATCCCCTAACTGGGTACGTTGATTATGATAAGCTTGAAGAGAAGGCGCTAGATTATCGTCCGAAAATAGTAATCTGTGGAGGAAGCTCGTATCCACGCGAATGGGACTATGGTAGATGTAGGCAGATCGCAGACAAATGCGGAGCAATTCTGATGTCCGACATGTCCCATATAAGCGGTCTTGTGGCAGCCAAGGTGTGTGGATTCTTCTTATAACATGTTTCTTGAGAATTGTGATTGAATTCATCGTGTCAGATTTTAAGATTTCTGTAAGATAATGCCTTTTCTTATTGTACGTGCCAGCATTAATTTTAATTTGTTATGTTAAAGTCTGATTGGGGTGGGATTAGTTTAGCCCTTAGGATAGCGATTTGAACCTTCCTGCCATTTTTGCTACTCATTTATGTCCTTATGACTCTGTCTCTGCTGCAGGAATGTGTTAGTCCGTTTCAATATTGTGATATAGTAACTTCAACAACACACAAAAGTCTCAGAGGGCCCAGAGGAGGTATTATCTTTTTCAGGAGGGGTCTAAAATCGAGGAAGCAAGGCGTGCTTCTAAATCATGGAGAAGAAACGGGTACTTATGACTTTGAGGACAGGATAAACTTTTCCGTTTTCCCATCGTTACAAGGGGGTCCCCATAATAATCATATTGCTGCACTGGCCATAGCGTTAAAGCAAGTGACTTCTCTCGAGTACAGAGTATATATTCGACAGGTGAAGAAAAATGCGCAGGCTTTAGCATCAGCTTTATTGAGAAGAAAATGTAGATTGGTAACTGATGGTACAGACAATCATTTGGTGCTGTGGGATCTTATTCCTTTGGGACTAACAGGTACTGCACTCAGATATTTGCCTCCTTCTGGATATACATTGTTTAATTGCACACTAGATTTTAAATGGTTCTCTGATATGATAAGACCCTTGAGCAAATATTGCTATTGGTGATTATTTTTGTGCTTTCTGAGTCGTTATTAATCGTTTATGCTGGATTATTGAGTTAGCTTTTGTGGGTTATCTCTGGGTTTGATTTGATTGCCTTGTCCCTAAAAGATAAGACGGAAGGGATAATAGCATAGCTGTTCCCCTCTTGTAACCTGGCTTCTCACGCCATGCTATAGTTGTAGGTTCATTGCTTTTCAATTATTGGGGATGTCCACTTGAGTTTTTCTTTCCGAAAGAAATTTCTAACTTTCTTTCCTCTTCATTTATAATTCATATTATTTGTAAAAGCTCAAATCCGCCTTTCTTTTCAAGCTTTCCCTTGAGGTTTTTAAAACGTCATGTTAGTGAGTGAGAGGTTTCTACACCCTTATACAAATGTTTCATTCCTCTCTCCAATTGATGTGAGATCTCACAATCCACCCCTCTTCGTTCCTTGCTCCTTGCTAACACTCGTTCCTCTCTCCAATCGATGTGGGATCTCACACCGCTCATCGCCATAGTTGGGTTCAAAGAATGTGATTTCCTCTCTAATTAATATTAATTTCTACTTGAACCTTCTATGGATTTTCAAGTCGGCAAATGAGGAAGTGTTAAAAGTATTATATATGATTGAATTTGTCATAGCTTTTATCGACTTTAAAGCTTTTAAATTGAGGGGTGGCTGCTAATTCTTATACTTTTGTTGTTTATTTTATTTTGCAGCCAAGAACTATGAGAAGATCTGTGAGCTATGTCATATTACAGTCAACAAGTGTGCCATCTATGGTGACAATGGAGCCATTTCTCCTGGAGGAGTGAGAATAGGTGCGTACTTGTATATAGAGTACTCACTCAGCCTTTTTGTTGTCCCCCATGATTATGATGACTTGAGAGAAACTGATAGAAACTTACTTACTTGTTCAGGCACTCCTGCAATGACAACCAGAGGTTGTCTAGAGGCTGATTTCGAGACGATAGCTGAGATCCTTCTTAAAGCAGTTCAGATCACAAAAATGGTCCTTCATAGGGAACACGGAAAACTACATAAAGATATGATGAAGAATTTACAAAACAACAAAGATATTATGGAGCTTCGAAACCGAGTTGAGGCGTTTGCTGCTTCATTCGCAATGCCAGGATTCGATATATGAATGTATGGGCCTCTGCTTTTACACCACAGCTTCACTTGGTAACCTCAAACACGAACAAATTCATGCCCCCCCACTTGTTTGCCTGTAAATTATAGAAAAAAAGGTTGAAGATAGACATGAATGAATCATTCATATACTTGTAACTGTGAATCCCAGATTACAACAGGGAGGTTTTTACCTAAAATATCTCCCATTTACACATGGTTTTGGTTTGGTGCCACTGTTTTGCCCGAGTATGTTTGATCTCCGGGATTTGAAATCACTGTTTATATACTTAATATTGATACTTCGGAATAAAAAGAGAGAAAAACGGGGGAAGCTTCTGATGCAAGCAAAATCTACTTTTGGAACATTATAGTGGGGGTTTTGCCTTTAAATATGAAGATGATGTCCCACATTGGTGGAGGAGGAACAAAACACCCTTGGAAACCTTCTCTAGTAGACACATTTTAAAGTCTTGAAGGGATGCTCGAAAGAGAAACTCCAAAGAGGACAATATCTGCTGGCGGGTGGATCATGGCGTTACAAAGGGTATCAGAGCCAGACACCAGACGATGTGCCAGTAAGGAATCCCTATCCTGGGTTGCATATATATTATTAACATGGGACATCTGAAGTACCAACCATCAAAATGATTAGAACCAATGCCTTCAACCTCACTTCTTCTTGAGCTGATTAGACTTGAGATATGATCAACACATTCCCTTTTTATAAACAAAAACAGGAAAAATACAAATAAAAACCCTTACATAATTACATTATTACAATAATATAACAACAACTGTATGAACAACACAACCAAAAACCCACCAATAATACTCTCAAACAAATTAAACAAAAATCCAGTTTTCTTCACACTTTCCAACTTCGACTCCTTGGAAGCCAATACGGCGACGTTCCGCTGATTTCAGTCCCCTTCTCCATACCCAATCTCTCCCTGTTCTCTTCCTCCATTAACCATTTCAAGCTCTTCTTCTTCTTCTTCTTCACCGTCTCTTCCACCCAGCTCTTCGCCGGAGCAGACCTGCAACGCATTAGCAAGAGCGCGTTCTTGGGCGGCGCAACCGGAGCATCATCATCAACAGTACACCCATTCATCATCCTATTCTCCTGTAAAACCATAAACCATTTAGAAAATGCAGCTCTGGAGCTTTCAGATTCTTCTTCTTCTTCTTCGTCTTCATCTTCTTCAGTCGTGAAATCTGCTTCTGAGAAAGCTCTGAAACACCTAAAATCAAACCGGAGACTGCGTAAACACGTTAACAATTGCATTATATCTTTCTTAAACCCTAAAGATTCCACCCAATTAACCCTCCTCCGCCGCCGTAATTTCCTCCGATTGTGAATCCTCTCTATCTCCTCCATCACCGACTGCCACCTCTCCCTGTTCTTCCGCCTCATCTTAACCTGCCCTGCACATGTCACTTTCGGCGACGACGGCTCCGACATCTCCGACCCCACCGTCTTCGCTTTCGCCCATACCACCGGACTCTCCGCCGATTTCCTCCGTCGGTGATGGTAACTCCGGCGGCTACGACGCAGCTTACTGGAATCAGAACCCCTCACTGGACTACAAAGCGGATTTGGCATTAAAGCCAAACGCGATCGAGAAGGAAAACAAACCAACAAATCCGTGGATGAAATCCCTTTAGCTTCTCTACCCAATTTCATAATGAATCCGTTTTCCGGCACCTGGGTTTTGGGATTTGAGGTTTTTAAAACACAATTCTTACAGAGAATCAGAAGAACTGCGTTAAATTTTGAAACTCCCCTTTTTGGCTGCCTTACAAATGGAATAAGGGCGAAGATTGGTGGAAGAACAGGCATGTGGGGCTGTGTTTCTTCACCTCTACTTTTCCTAACAATGCATTAAAGCCCACTACCTTTATTTCATTATCCAATCATAGTCTAACTCCACCAGCCCATGCCATAAAAGCGCCCTCCCCCTTTCGCTCTCACGACAAATTATTCAATGAAACTATCGTTCAATAAACACAAGATGTATAGAACATTCAATGATGTTAGATTGTCGGTCAAATTATGAGAGACTAATCTACAGTCGTGGAATGATGTATTCTTATATGTCGTCCTATGTTTTGGGATGCATCGACTATCTTGACTTGCTCGAACACATCCATTGGATGTTGTGTCGCACACAATTGAACATGCATCCATGAATGGTGTGTGTGGTCGAATAAGCTTGGATTTCGCACGAGCTGTGTTCGGTTGGTAAATCGACAAAGCCACAAATCTAAATGTGGGACTTGTCGTGAGGGTGTCAAGATCACGAGACGGTGACAATTTTTAAACAACGAACCAATTGTCCCACAAATATTTGGAACGGACAACAAGATATTCCCACTACTTTTTATCCTTTGTCTTTGGATATAACAATCCCCACCTTCTTTCCAACTAATAATTCATGTCTCTACAAAAATCTTCCAAATTAAGAATATAACAAATGATTATTAGCTCGACGTATGTATTAGGTAAGGACGTTTGAAGTGTTCTTCTATGGAGAATGCTCGTGAACTAACCGAGCAGCTCAACTTCGATTAAAGTAGTCACAAATTTGCATAAGCCTTTTCATTAGTGCAACGGGTCGAGAAGCTGGGATGACTTACAAACTAGAAATTCAAATTAGCGTGCTGTTGTGCCTAATATGCTCTAACCTCGTGAACATATCATCGCATTAACAAATAATATATAATAAAAAATATTAAATCGTAAAGAATCGAATTAAAATTTAGATATAATAGTAAAGAAAATATCTCGAACTATGATTGAGTTGATTTGAATAAAGTGGAAAATAGTTATGAGTTGAAAATCACATAATTATTTAAATTAAATTAATTTAAAGTGAGAATGCAATTATGAGTATTGTGTTTGAGAAATCGGGCCCTCGTGAGTCATGAGCTTAGAGTCTTTGTCTTTGGACTTCGGCCAATTATTTGTCTCTTTTTTTCATTGACTTGATATCGACCTCTTCAGATGTGATATCAATATTAGATACAGTTACTCGAATATGATCGTTATCTATGTTTTTACTCTCTTTAATGAAAAGTTTATGTACAACAAGATGAGGAAATAGATAGCGATAGGAACATTGATGCATGAATCTGGTCACATCTCCACGTAAACTACTGATTGAGAGACGGATCGACGTATTATGTACACTTGTGCTCAACGAGGTTCGACCCATAGCTCAATGCTTAGATCTAGGTAATATCCTAGTATTTACGGAGTTCTCTCATTGTATCATCGTATCATGGCAAATTCATACCCGACAACGAGAATTTCACTGTGTGGTCATACATGCCTTGATTTCGTACCAAATCAAGGGTAAGATTTACCCGCTCGCAGCAAGTGCATGGTAGGCCGCCCCTAAGAAAAGGTTTTCGGTAGCGTGGAATCTAAGTGAGCGTTTTCCAAATCCTACCCCTAAAGAGACATTAATTGTCACAAATTAATCATAATTAACTTGATTTTTTAGTTACATTATGATAATTTTTATTAACCAATTTCATTTATTCGGATAGTTTGTTTTGTGCTCGGATATGTAATTAGGACGATATTCAGAGGTGGAAATCAGAAACCAGAGAAATATAGGGGGTTAAATGCAAAATACAGAAAATAAACTGCTATCTATTTTTGGATGAATATTTTCCACGTAACGAAAAAAAAGAAAGAAAAAAAAAATGGTTTCGTTCCAACTGAGTCAGGTTTCTGTTCCCCGGAAAATCAACATTCTTCCTTCGTTTAAAGATTTGAAACTCTAATAAGTTTTTTCAATTGATTGCTTTCCAAATTGAGCAATCAAAACTGTTCAGATCATTCATTTCTTCATCGTGAATCGAGATTTCTCTCGCTCTCTCTCGCTTTCGGGATGGAAAGCTTGATGAACAAGATTCGTAAACTGGACGCTTATCCGAAGATCAGCGAAGATTTTTATAGCCGTACACTGTCCGGAGGATTCATCACTATTATATCTTCCATTATAATGCTCTTGCTCTTCTTCTCCGAGCTTCGTACGTTTCGCCATTTATATTTTCTCGTCGATTCTGTGCTTGCTATGTTTGTTGTTGGAGGTTTTTCTGCATACACGTTTTGGAACTTACTTAGCTCAATTTGCTCAGGAATGAGATAATGTGTAGCGACTTTTTGGTAGGGTTCTTGGGGGTTGTTTTGTCACTATCATGCTTTTTTTTGGTATCTTATGAACAAAATGAGTGAGTAGATTAGTAAACAAAAAAGTGTCGTTTCTAGTTGTTTAGGGTAAGTATGTGTTTAATTACTTCGTTGCAATTGAATATTGATTGTATTCCTTGCCGTTTTCCCATTGTTTTGTTTCTTTTTCCTTTTTCTTAGGTTGTTCTGTTCTTGTTTCATGCACAGCTCTGGTTCGTGCTGCATGAAAGAGGGGCTGTTTGTTTGTGTTTTGTTTCCTTTATGATAACATGTTGTGAGTTTGCTGTTCTAATTTCAGGTATGTATGTACATACTGTAACAGAGACAAAGCTTATAGTAGATACTTCAAGAGGAGAGCACTTACGAATCAATGTAATTTACCTGCAAAGTGGAAACATGTCTTTTATTTGTTTGTTGGTTTTCTACTCTGCTTACAAGGGTTCATTTTCTTTTAATGATTTAGATTAGTTGCATTTGAACACATATTATGTTTTTTCTTTTACTGTTCTTTATTTGGAAATATGCTCCTGGACTTGCACTTGAATGTGCATCGACGTAATATTCATATTCAATTGTGCAGTTTGATGTTACATTTCCTGCACTTCCATGTTCTGTTCTCAGTCTTGATGCTATGGACATAAGTGGAGAGCAACACCTTGATGTGGTATGGCATCCCTAAAATTCACTTATATGCTTGGCAATTGGAATCTTTTGGTTAATTTTAACAGCTAAATACTGTATCTCTTTCTAATGTCTTTTAATTATGCAGAAACATGATATAGTAAAGAAAAGAATAGATTACCATGGCAATGTGATAGATTCAAGACCAGATGGGATTGGATCATCTAAGGTAATTACATATTCTTTTGAAGGCTGGATTTTTGTTCCCCTTCATTTTCTATCAACAATATATAGAGTCAACACCAGATGGTGTTGCAAACGAGAATGATTTTTGGTGATTGTTGATTTTGGTACCTCGCACCGCTAAATTTAGGGTCACTGTATTATGAGTTGCTTCTTTTCTCCATTGTTATCGATTCTGATTCTACTTCATGCAGATTGAGAAGCCTTTACAGAGACATGGTGGCAGACTCGAGCACAATGAGACATACTGTGGTTCCTGCTATGGGGCAGTAAGTTTGTACTTCATTTTTTGGATTTTTATGTTGGAGCAAAGTTTAATTACCTTTTCAAGTTCTTTACGAGTAATTTGAGAAAAATTCAGTATTACCGTACTTCATAGGTATTGATGGGTACATTCAGTAGATTACATGTTCTTGATCGAACTAACCTGCCGATTCAAATTTTGAAGTTTGTTTAATATGTTGATTTAATTGGTAAAAATTTGAAACTGTATAATTCAATCAATCGCTAATTGATTTTTTTTTCTTTCCTTTTGTTCTGTTTTTCAGTTAGATGACGATTGTTGTAATTCTTGTCAAGACGTGCGTGAAGCTTATCGTAGTAAAGGTTGGGCTTTGTCTCATCCAGATCTAATTGACCAGGTTGGTTTACTTCCTGCATAAAAAAATTTTACTACATTTCTTTGAGATGCAAACTGCGTGGTCATAAAAATATATTCAATCTAAATTTTCAACCAAATTCAGACAACATATATTTCATCTAAACCCAAATTAAGTTCTGTTCCAAATATCTGGTGAATAAACAATTTGGAAACCCACAGCTTAAAAGAATTGATGAATCAAACTGCGCCTCTAGGCACTAAGAACGACAATAAATCAGGGTTAAAAGGAAGAGAGATTGACACCAGATTTATATTGGTTCACCCAAAGTGGTGGTGTCAATCAAGTTACATCGATTGAGAATAAGCCAATGCTGCAAGAACATCCAAAAAAAAATTACCTCAAGGTCACGGTTTTTCTTCTTGTCAAACAACACACAACAGTCAACACCCACGGCCTCTTCTTCTGTATACGAAAAAAACGCAGCCGCAGCCAGCTCAATTAAATTGCTAGGTTACTAATTGACAAATGGGCCTTGATTGTTTTGGGCTTCATATTCTCAACAAATTGTCATTTAAATATTTTTCTCTCCACTGAAATCTATTCGAATAAACTAGATAGTTTTCTGGACTGAGGTTGACTTTGCGAATGTATCTTCAGTTTTGTGATTGTTCTGACAATTTGCTTCTCATTTAGATGCCATCTTATAACAATTGCTTCTCATTAAGTAACTAATTGTTGGAGAGGATTGAAATTGGCATTGTTGGATATGGTTGCACACTTAGCATAGTGATAGCCCTGAGTTAAATTGGTCATAACTCCTTTCAAATTGTCAATTTTCATCAGATAACTCAAATTGGCAATTGATGTTCGTTTGCCAAAGAACTTCATGAAGCCCTTCTCTTTCTGTGTTCTGTTTTCACTTTAGGGAAATTTAGCATTCAGTTGATTTCTATTACTCTCTTTTTTGTTTTGCTTCAACGCTTTATTCCCTTAATGGTGAATGCTTATCATCCTAATTTACTTGGACATTGTTGTATATACCATATATTGTCTTCAAAACTTTTGCATAGCAAGATTGGATTATACTTTCTCGGTTGAATGGAATCTCTCGTATGTTGGCTTTATATTTTTAGTGCAAACGAGAAGGTTTCTTCAAAAGGGTGAAAAATGAAGAAGGTGAAGGATGCAATATATATGG